CTGAGCCTATATCCTCCTGATCTATGTGATGTAGTCAAGTATTAGGTGACCTTCCAACTGAAGGTCAGTTAAAGACCTTCTAACTGACTAGGGTCACTAAAGCTTCCCAATCATCAGGAACTTCCAAAGTTCCAATATAACAGACTTATGTCCTTCAGCCACCCAGGAGCTAGCTAATTTCTTGGACTAAGAGGAGTTGCTTGCAGGGCCCTGCTAGATTGCTGAAGATGGGAAAGAAAGCAAGTGTGGCTGATAGCCCACCAGTGTTCATACCAATACACCTGTACCAGTTGTTGAATTACTGAAATACTTTCAAGCCAGTCGATAAGCACCTAACTCTTGTATACTCCCCCTCCCCAGACCTAGCAATTAACAATGGCTTATGAGTTTCTGTGATTCTGGAAGCTATGCCACCGGCATTTTAAATACCAGCAGGGTCACCCATGGTGGCCAGGTTTCAGATGAGCTTCCAGACAAAGACAGACTAGGAAGAAGGAGTGACGAACTACTTGCAAATATTTAGTCACTGAAAACGTTATGAATAGCAGAGAAACACTGTCAGATATAGTGCCGGAAAATGAGCCCCTCGGGTTGGAAGGCACTCAAAATGCGACTGGGGAAGAGCTGCCTCCTCAAAGTAGAGTTGACCGTGATGACACGGATGGAACAAAGCCAATGGGAGAAAAGCCCGCAGGACCTTCATTTGCAGTTGGGACACTACTCAAAATGAAGAGGAACAGCTGTAAACATCCATTAATAATCAGAACATGGAATGTACAATGTATGAATCTAGGAAAATTCGAAATTGTCAAAAATGAAATGGAACACATAAACATCGATATCTTAGGCATTAGTGAGCTGAAATGGATTGGTATTGGCCATTTTGAATCTGACAACCACATGGTTTACTATGCCGGAAATGACAAATTGAAGAGGAAGGGTGTTGCATTCATTGTCAAAAAGAACATATCCAAATCAGTCATGAGGTACAATGCTGTCTGTGATAGGATAATATCCATACACCTACAGGGAAGACGACTATTATTCAAATTTACACACCAACCACTAAAGCCAGTAAGGATGAAATAGGAGAATTCTACCAACTTCTTCTATCTGAAATTGATCAAACATGCAATCAAGATGCATTGATCATTAGTGGTGATTGGAATGCAAAGGTTAGGAGCAAAGAGTTAATATCAGTAGTTGGAAAATATGGCCTTGGTGATAGAAATGCTGCTGGAGATCGCATGATGTTGTTGTTGTTGTTAAGTGCCATCGAGTCGGGTCCGACCCATAGCGACCCTGTACAGGGTTTCCAAGGGTGTAAATCTTTACGGGAGTAGAAAGCCTCATCTTTCTCCCGCGGAGCGGCTGGTAGTTTCGAACCACTGACCTTAAGGTTCGCAGCCCGATTCGTAACCACTACGCTACCAGAGTTCCTTGGAGATCGCATGATAGAATTCTGCAAAATCAATTATTTGTTCATTTCAAATACCTTCTTTAGATAGCATAAGAGATGGCTATACACATGGACCTCGCCATATGGAATACATAGAAATCAAATTGACTACATCAGGCGTAAGAGACAATGGAAAAGCTCCATATCATCAGTCAAGACAAGGCCAGGGGCAGATTGTGGAACAGACCATCAATTACTTGTATGCAAATTCAAACTAAAGCTGAGGAAAAGGAAAAACAAGTCCACGAGAGCCAAAATATGACCTTGAATATATCCGACCTGAATTTAGAGATCATCTGAAGAACAGATTTGATACTTAACACTAAAGTCCAAAGACCAGAAGAGTTGTGGGATGACATCAAGAATATTATTAAGAAGACAAGAAAGAAGGAAATTATCAAAATGGATGTCAGACGAGACACAGAAACTTGCTCTCCAGCATAGAGATGCTAAAACAAATGGAAAACATGAGGAGGTACAAACAGAACATTTCAGAGATCAGCTCAAGAAGATAAAGGCAAATATTACAACAAAATGTGCAAAGATCTGGAGTCAGTAAAACAAACAGGAAGAACACGCTTAGCGTTTATCAAGCTAGGGGAAGTAAAGAAAAAATTCAGGCTTCAACTTTCGTTATTGAAAGATTCTCTGGGCAAAATGTTGAATGATGCAGAAAGAATCAAAAGAACATGGAAAGAATAAACAGAGTCACTGAACCAAAAGGAAATGGTTGATGTTCAACCGTTTCAAGAGGTAGCATATGATCAAGAAACAATGAATGATACAGAAGGAGGAAGTCCAAGGTGCATTGAAGGAATTGGCAAAGAACAAGGCACCAGGAAATGATGGAATAAAAATGGAAATCTTTCAAGAAAGTGAGGTGGCAGAGGTGGCACTCACTCATCTCTGCCAAGAAATTTGTAAGACAAGTATCCGGCTGACTAATTGCAAGAGATCCATAGTTGTGCCCATTCCAAAGAGACGTGACCCAACAGAATGCAGAAATCATTGGACAATATCTTTGATATCCGATGAGAGTTAAGTTTTATTAAAGGTAATACAGAAACAGCTACAATCATACATTGACAGAGAACTTCCAGAGGTTCAAGCTGGAGTCAGAAGAGGCTGTGGAACACGGAATATCATTGCTAATGTCCGGTGGATCCTGGCTGAAAGCAGAGAATATCAGAAAGATGTTTACCTGTGCTTTATTGACTACACAAAGGCTTCCGATTGTGTGGATCATGACAATCTATGGACAACACTGCAAAGTATAAGTATTCCAGAACAGTTAACTGTGCTCATGAGGAATCTGTACATGGACCAAGAGGCAGTTGTTTGAACAGAACATGGGAACACTAAATGTTTTAAAATTAAGAAAGGTGTGCGACAGGGTTGTATTCTTTTGCCATACTTATTCAACCTGTATGCTGAGCAAATAATCCAAGAAGCTGGGTTCTATGAAGAAAAGTGTGGCATCAGGATTGGAGGAAGACTCATTAACAGCCTGCGATATGCAGATGATAAAACCTTGCTTACTAAAAGTGAAGAAGACTTAAAATATTTACTGATGAAGATCAAAGACCACAGTCTTTGGTATGGATTGCATCTCAATATAAAGAAAACAAAAATTCTCACCACTGGACCAATAAACAACATTCTTATCAATGGAGAAAAGATTGAAGTTTTCAAGGACTTCATTCTTCTTGGATTGACTATCAACACTCATGGAAGCAGCAGAAATTAAACGATGTATTTTATTAGGCAAATCTGCTGCACAAGACCTTTTTAAAGTGTTGAAGAGCAAAGACGTCAGCTTGAAGACTAAGGTATGCCTGACCCAAGCCATGGTATTTTCAATAACCTTGTGTGATGCAAAAGCTGGACAGTGAATAAGGAAGACCGTAGAAGAATTGATGCTTTTGAGTTATGGTGTTGGGGGAGAATATTGAAAGTGCCATGGGCTGCCTAAAGAACCAACAGATGTGTGTTGGAAGAAGTGCAGTCAGAGTGCTCCTTGGAGGCCAGGACAGCTATACTTCGTGTCTCATACTTCGGACACATTGTCAGGAGGGACCAGTTGCTGGAGAAGGATATCATGTTTGGTAAGGTGGAGGGTCAGAGAGAAAGAGGAAGACCCCCAGCGAGATGGATTGACAAAGTGGCAGCATTAGTGGGCTCAAGCGTGGCAACAATAGTGAGGTTGGCCCAGGATCGGGCAGTGTTTCGTTTTGCTGTGCATAAGGTCGCTATGAGTAGGTACTGACCTGATGGCACCTAACAACAACAACAACATCATTTATTAGGAGTCCTGGTGTGGTGCTGTGGATTAATGCGCTGGACTGCAAAGTTGTTTTAACTGCAAGGTCAGTGGTTCAAGCTCACCAGCTGCTCCTTGGAAACCCTCTAAAAGGTCTCTATGGGTCAGAACTGATTCAACAGCACTTAACAACACTCATTGATGAAGTATTTTGAACATTCCCCTTGGCTGTAAGATGCCTGGCCCCAACAGACTCAAGAGAAATGAAATTCTGTGCTCATTCGAGGGTGCTGAGGGTGATGAAAATTCTGGAAGTCAAAGATTGCAAATTCAGTTTCCATGTGCTGTTCTTGCTCCTGGCCACAGCCAAGTACCAACTCAGAACATCCCATAGTCATATGCAGCTATTATTGCACTCTTTTATTTACAGAAAACACAGATAAAGCATTTCAATATTCATTTAGCAAACTGATCCACTCTTTTTTTTTTTTTTTGGCACAAAGAAATATCACAGATGGGCCCCAAGATTAATCAAAAACTCCTAAGATTCATCAGCCATCACTGGTCCAGGGGCAGCCACAAGACTCAGACAGACAGACAGACAGCATCTCCACAGACTGGAAAAAATAAACAAGGTCCACGTTCACCTCACAGTAAAAACCTGCTCACTGACAGGCAAGGGTGACAAGAGATGGCAGTTTCTCTGCTCCAAGGTGGAGAGCAGGTGCCAGGGGCAGGAAGCAGGACTGGGAAGGAGCTAGACACCATTCATAAATGAGAGAGAGGTGCTGTTTTTGTTTTTAACCTTTTACCTTGTGGAAGTAAGACAGTGCAAAACTACAGTCCCCCGAGCACTCTTCCATTCGAACAGCTTGAGAAGTTGTATGGTGTTGGGCACCTTACCTGTGCATGGGTGCCCGTGTGTGCACATATGTGTGCACACATTCGTGTGTGTGTGTGTGTGCGTGTGTGTGAATGTGGTGCTTGTAAACATTGTCACCATCCATATAGAGACCCAACATCCATGTGTCTGAATCGGGGTGGGGTGGGAACGTACCCCACTTCACGCCTCCTTTGCCCCAATGAATCCCGTCCAAGACATAGTGCAAATTTCAAAGACAAAAAGAGGCAGGAAGGGGTGGGGGGGAGGCGGGACAGGGGGCAAGAAGGACACAAAGACAGGGTAGAAGAGGGAGGGGGAAATAAGGCAACAGTTAAAAATGGTCCATTTTATCAAAAACGACACCAGGTGCCCCCACCCAGCCACCCATGGCGCCCGCATCATGAGAAAGGGCGGAAGTCCCTCTCCTCCACCAGGCTGATGGAGGGATTCTTCAGCTCCTCCTCCGAGGTGGCCATCCTGTAACCCAGCTGGGCCAGCACTTGCTGGCAGGCGTTCTGCGCAAAGGCCACGATGTCGTAGGAGAGGCGGAAGCGCCACTTCTCGGCGGTGGCAGCCGAGTTGCGCACGGTGCCGTATTTGTGTTTGCCCAGGGCCGGGTCACCCCGCGTGTTATTCTGTATCCAGCGTGCTACGTGGCTGTCCAGGGGGATGCCCAGGAAGTCGTAGATCTCCTCTGTCTTCTTCGTGGGGTTCCTGGCCAGGTCCTCGTAACGCACCAGCATGTACTTGCCCTTGAGCCACGGTGGCCGCATGAGGCCGGTAGCCACGGAGTTGGCAAAGTCCTCGCACACCGTGGTCAGCTGCGTCACATCCAGGTTGTAGGGCTTCCTCCCGGTGCCGTACCAGAGTCTCCAGAGTCGGTACGTGTCTCGGAAGGTCTCGCTCCGTGAGGCCAGAATGCCCCGCGGGTCGCGGACAAGCTGGATGACCTTCAGGTTTAACCGAGGGTCTTCAACCAGAGCCCGCAGGTCGTTGACCTCAGGGACCCGCACGGTCTTGATGGCCACGTGGCTGCGCTCTCGACAGGCCTCGGCTGCCATGGTCAAATTCAGCGGGCCACACTTGCGCACACAGTCTCCCTCTTCCAGGACCAGGTCGGCGGAGCCCGGGGGGTCACACACCGGCCGCGAGCAGAGGACCCTGCTGGCCCCTCGGCGGAAGACCCTGTCGGTGGTGTGGTTGACCGGCGGGGGCTTGATGTAATTCTCCAGGAAGTAGAGGTCACAGTCATAGAGGCTTCGAAGGAGGTCGCGGCTGGCACCCAACATGACCCGCCGATCTGCAGGGCTCTTGCCCTGTGTGAAGCGGGGGATGAGCGTATTCTGCACGTGGTAGAGGGGCTCAAACAGGTAGAAGACGTCCAGGTGCTGGTTGAAGAGCTGGCCCACGAAAGAGGAGCCGCTGCGCGTCGTGGCCAGGATGAGGATGTGGGTCTTGCGCGAGAGGTTGTAAGTGAAGGTAGGTCCCTCCTCACACAGCCGCTCCGCCAGCCCTGCCTCGGCCAAGCCGGGGCAGGTGTGGAAGGATTTGGCGGTGAAGGTGCGGATGGCCGTGTATTGGATGGCGATGGAGGCCAGGGCAAGGAGGAGGACGGCCTTCCAGGAACATTGCATGGCTGGGCACCTTCATGGGGCTGCTTCTCCACCATGCGAGGACTGCAGGCAAAGGCAGACAGTGGTCAGGGAGCAGCCGGCAGTGGGTGGGCCACAGCTCACTCCCTAGAAAGAACTGGTCTCTAAGGTGAGCTACAAGACCAATGCTCACCCACACACCTGTCCCAAGGCCTAAGCAGCTTCTGGAATCCCAGAGTAGACAGACCAGGAGGTCAGGGACCTCAATGCTCATGGCACCCCACCCAACCAGCGCTCCGGCGCCTCCTTCCCCAGCCACAGGTGAGCTCAGGGTCCCGGCAGAAACAAAACTAGACGCAAAGATGATGGAAACCCCTCAAGGAATGGAGGCAGACAAGAGGCAAGGGATGTGAAGGGTGTGCCAAGGGCCCAGGTGCCAACCTCACAGAGTCTTAAAGATGCCAGAGTTCATCAACAGCCCTGGAGCTATGACAGGAAAGTATACCACCAGCACCCAGTCACTCACCAAAGAGGAGCTGCTCCGAACTGGGGGTCCACAGCCGACAGCGTCTCCTGGCCTGGTTGGCAGACTGCAGGGAGACAGAGAGAGGAGGTGTTCTGAGATGGGAGTGAGCTCCCAATATCCCCTTTCCCACTGGTGATCCATTGGTTTGAAGTGGAAAGCCAGGGGCTTCTATACAGAACCAGGTTGTTGAGAGTCCCCCGGATCTGACCCTCTGTCCTAGTCACTTGCTTACCTAGCTGGTCAAGGTCCCTATGCTCATACCAGGACCCAGTGGTAAGGGATTCTGGGAAGTCTGCACATTCAGCAGGCAGCTGAAGCCCAACACAGGCAACTTCCCAGGAAGGGTATGCTGGTCAAGGTCCCTATGCTCATACCAGGACCCAGTGGTAAGGGATTCTGGGAAGTCTGCACATTCAGCAGGCAGCTGAAGCCCAACACAGGCAACTTCCCAGGAAGGGTATGCTGGTCAAGGTCCCTATGCTCATACCAGGACCCAGTGGTAAGGGATTCTGGGAAGTCTGCACATTCAGCAGGCAGCTGACACCCAACACAGGCAACTTCCCAGGAAGGTACCCTCCCTACCCTCCACCCCTTTGCCCCAGGAAACCATGGGAGCTACAAAACAACCTATGTGCACAAACACCTCAGATCTGGTTAGCTCTGTTGCAGCTCTGGGGACCATGGGGGCCATGCTGACAGACCAGACCCAGACCCAAGGGCCAACAATGGAACTGAGTGTCCAAGTTAAGTTGCTGCAGCCTGAAGCTCAGTCTCAATAGGTTCCATGTTTTCAATAAGCAAAATTCTACTTGCTCAGGGATTCCCCAGGAAGGGGTTAGCAGAAGGCAGCAAGGGTTGGGGGCTTACCCCAAACCTCCAGCTTGAAACAGCAGCTTCGTCAAGACCAGGCCAGACACTAAGGCCGGCTCCGAAGGGATGGCCCAGGAAGACTTCTTCCAACCACTCCGTAATAGGGAGATTGGCTACCTGAAATCCAAAGCAAACGGTGTTCAGGGAGCGCTCCTGAGCTTGATGGTCTTCAGATTCTAGTTAAAGCATCAAGCTCCTGAGTGCTAAGCTCTTTCCTGTACTCACTCACTTATTCCTCAGGAGAGCTTCATGTGGCTGCCAGTCTTCTCTCCATTTCACAGGTGAGAAAACTGAGGCACAGAGAGGGAGCTACCCACCTACTTCAGCCCCAGAACCCACGCTCTCTCCCTCTCAGAGATTTCACTTTCAGGCCCTTAGACTTACAAGTATGTCTCCCTCCCACGTGTGAGCAGGCCGGAGAGGGGCCAGTCATTGGAAGCGGGAAGGCAGACAGTTGTGAGTTGTAGATCTGTTCTGGTTATTGTCTGGACTTGTATCTATTTGTTCCTGACTCCGACAGGAGTCAGCCAAGTGGGTTTTCATTTCCCAAACCTGCTGCACAGCCTGGTTGGGTCATCCAACTCCCAGCACCATGTTATCCTCTGCACCCCACTCTGTAAGTCTCCTCACCCCCTTCGTTCTGAGGTTCAAAGACAAAGGAAATGTGCAGAAGCTAGTAAGAAGTAAGGGGCCCCAATGGCATAATGGTTAAGCACTTGGCTACCAACCAAAACGTCAGCAGTTCAAAACCACCAGCTGCTCCACATCCTTGGAAACCCTATGGGACCATTTGATAGGGACACTGCCAGTCAGAACTGACTTAAAGGCAATGAGTTTGGCATTTTTTGTTTGTTTGAATAAAATAAAATCCAAATCCACTGCCATTAAGTGGATTCCAACTCATAGCGACCCCAAGAACAGAGTAGAAGTGCTTCTGTCCGGCTTCCAGATGGTCACCTTTACAGACAGACTGCTGCATCATCCTCCAGAGGAGCAGCTGGTTGAGTTCAAACCACTGACCTTTTGGTTAACAGCCAAGTGTTCTAACGCTGCACCATGGTTTTAATAAGAAGTAGCAAATCCATTAACGTTCACTACAGCATTATTCATAATAGCCAAAAGGCAGAAGCCATAAGCAGATCAGTTGGTAAGCCAAATGTAGTACATTTTGTATATATTAACATAGTATACATGGAAGCAGCCGTCAAGAAATCAAATGACACCTCTCATTAGTCAAATCTGCAGCACAAGACCTTTTTAAAGTATTGAAGAGCAGAGATGTCGGCTTAAGGACTAAGGTGCACCTGACCCAAGCCATGGTATTTTCAATAACCTCATATGCATGCAATAGCTGGACAGTGAATAAGGAAGATCGTAGAAGAATTGATGCTTTTGAGTTATGGTGTTAGAGGAATATTGAAAGTGCCATGGGCTGCCAAAAGAACCAATAGATCTGTGTTGGAAGAAGTGCAGCCAGAGTGTTCCTTGGAGGCCAGGATGGTCAAACTTCATCTCTCATATTTGGGACATATTGTCAGGAGGGACCAGACGCTGGAGAAGGATATCATGTTTGCTAGGGTGGAGGGTCAGAGAAAAAGAGGAAGACCCCCAATGACATGGATTGGCCAAGTGACAGCACTGATGGACTCAAGCATGGCAACAGTAGTGAGGTTGACCCAGGATCGAGCAGTGTTTCATTATGTTGTGCATGAGGTCACTAATAGCCAGTAATGACTCGATCACACCTAACAACAACAACAGAAACAACACATAGCGCTCTTTGTTCTATTAAATACTGTCAAGTCGATTGTCACCCATAGCAACCTGGGGTCTCTGAGGAGTGGTTGGTGGGTTTGAACCAAGACCTTTGAAGTTAGCAGTCCAGTGCTTATTCTATTGCTGAGTCTATACCAGGACTCCAGTGGATTAGTGTTGTTGTTGCTAAGCGCTGTTGAGTCGGTTCCGACTCATAGAGACCCTGTATAGGGTTTCCAAGGAGCAGCTGGTGAGTTTGAACTGCCGACCTTATGTTTAGCAGTCCTGTGCTGATCCTACAGCGCCACACCAGGAACCATAAAAATAAATGAAGTCCTGATACATGCTACAACATGGCTGGAACTTGAAAACACGCTACATGAAATATGTCAGTCACAAAAGACCAAATATTGTGTGGTCCCACTCACAGGAAATAGTCCAGAGCTTAGTAGTAGTTACAAGGAGCAGGACAGTGGAGCAATGGGGAGTCACTGTTAGGGGTGTGGAGTTTTTGTTTTGCTGGTGGAATCATTTAGAAAAGAATTGTGGGAATGATTACACAATGATTCATTTACCTGGTGAGTATCACTGTAATCTACATGTCAATATTGCTGAAATAGCCAATGTTTTCTTGTATATATTTTTTCTTACAAAAAAAGAAGCAGAGACTCAGACTCCTCTGAGTTAAACTCCCAGGCCAGTGCTCTGGCCCCTCACCATCAGACTAAAACCAACCAAAACCACAGCCATGGCCATAGACTCGAACCTAACTCATGGAGACTCCACGTGCTCCCGAGTGGAACTGCACATCACGGGGTATTTTTGGTCGTAGACTATGGAAGCAGATCGCCAGGTCTTTCTTCCATGGTGCTGCTGGATGGATTCAAACTGTCAACCTCTTGGTTAGTAACCAACAGCCAACTGTTTGCACCCCCAGGTGCCCCACCATCAGGCTGAGTTGGAGGAAATATAGTAGAAGCAGCCTGCCTACTGTGGTGAGGGGCATGGAGGCTGAGCTGAGATGACAGTGGGCCTCAGGGTCCTGTTTTAAGACTGAAACTCCACTTGTTACCCTCCAGGTCACCAAGCAGCAGTCATCGAGGAAGGGACCCAGTCTAGAGTCCTGGGAACCTCTCAGTGTGAACAGAGTAAAATCACAATCCCGTGGTAGTTGGAGAGCCTTTGCAAGGCACCCAATAAGAACCACCTCTGTATTAAATGTACGCTACCCTGAGGATGGCCCTAAGACACAGGTGAGTGTCCAGCAGAGGACACATAGGGAATACCAGCAATAAGTGACAGGGAATCATCTATCGATTTCAGGGACCATCCTTTAGCTACAATGTCATTTTATATGAATGCACTTCTTTTACATTGATTCACAAACAATGATCAGATGGGACCTAGCGTGTGCCAGGCACTGTTCTAGGTAACATAGTAAGCAAAAAGCCAAACACTTCCTGGACATCCATTCTATTTCTCCCCGGCATGTGCTCCTTGCACAGGCATTAGGTTATCTCACCCTCACACCAGCCCTCTGAGGTTAGGAATGTCATTTCCTGCTTGTACTGATAGGGAAGCTGAGGCTTTGCAAGTTTACACAACTGTAAGAACAGCATCAGGATTCCAGCTCAGGTAGAATACTTGGGAATCCATGCGTAAATTCTGCTTCCTGACCCACATTTACTCCATTCACATTTCACCCACTTTGGTCCCCATCAAAACAGTAAACAGACCCCTAAAGCAGGGGTGGGGAACTTCTGGCCCACAGGTGGTATTGTTGTTGTTAAGTGCTAGGGAGTCGGTTCTGTCTCATAGTGACCGTCTATCCGGTTTCTGAGAAGTGGCTGGTGAGTTTGAACCACCAACCTTGTGCTTCAAACCAACCTAGGGGT